GAACTAACAGCTCAACAACAAAAAAACCAACAATCCAACTAGAAAATGGGCAAAAGATCTGAACAGAGATTTCTCCAAAGAAGATATACAGATGGCCAACAGGCATATGAAAAGATGCTCGACATCATTAGCTATAAAGGAAATGCAAATCAAAACGACAATGAGGTATCACCTCACTCCGGTCAGAATGGCTATAATTAACAAGACAGGAAACAGCAAATGTTGGAGAGGATGTGGAGAGAAGGGAACCGTTGTTCACTGCTGGTGGCAGTGCAAACTGGTGCAGCCACTATGGAAAGCAGTATGGAGTATCCTCAGAAAATTAAGGATAGATCTACCATATGATCCCACTAGTCCACTGCTGTGTATTTGTCCAAAGAACTTGAAAACAAAAGGCATAAAGATACTTGCACCCCTATGTTCATTGCAGCATTATACACAATAGCCAAGACATGGAAACAACCTAGCTGCCCATCAAGGGATGAATGGATAAAGAAGATCTGGTATTTATACATGATGAACTACTACTCAGCCATAAGAAAAGACGAAATCCAGCCATTTGTGACAACATGGATGGACCTTGAGGGTATTATGCTGAGTGAAATAAGTCAGAGGGAGGAAGTCAAATACCATATGATCTCACTCATAAGTAGAAGATAAAACGACAAAAAAAAAAAACCACATAGCATTGGAGATTGGATTGGTGGTTACCATTGGGGAAGGGGGAAGGGGGGAGTGCAAAAAGGGTGATTAGGTTTACATGTGAGGGGATGGACTATAATTAGTTTTCGGGTGGTGAACGTGATGTAATGTACACAGAATTCGAAATATGATGTACATCCAAAAAATTAAAAAGAAATAAAAGACAGACAATAAAAAAATAATAACATCAAAAAGAATAAAATGCTTAGGAATAAATTTAAACAAGGAAGTGAAAGATGTATACACTGAAAACTATAAGATATTGATAAAAGATATTGAAGAAAAACACAAATAAATGTAAAAATATTCTCTGCTAATGGATTGGAAGAATTAATATTGTTAAAATGTTCATACTATACAAAGCTATATACAGATTCAATGCAATCCCTATCAAAATTCCAATGGCATTTTTCACAGAAATAGAAAAACTATTCTAAAATTGTATGGAGCCATAAAAGACCCAGAATAGCCAAAGCAATACTGAGAAAGAAGAACAAGCTGGAGACATCACACTTCCTGATTTCAAACTATATCACAAAACTGTACTAACCAAAAGAGTATAATATTGGCATAAAAACAGAAACATATCAATGGAATAGAATAGACTATCTAGAAACAAACCCATGCATACATGGTGAATTAATTTTTGACAAAGAGCTAACATTATCCAATGGGGAAAGGATAGTCTCCTCAATAAATGGTGTCAAGGAAACTGGATTGCTACAGGAAAAAAATAAAACGTGGCCTCTATTTTGTACCATATACATATAAACTCAAAATGGAAAAGTGACTTGAATGTAAGAAATGAAACTGTAAAACTCCTAGGAGAAAATATAGGGAATAAACTCCTTGACATTGGTCTTGGAAATGATTTTGGGGGTTGGCACAAAAAGCAAAGGAAAGAAACAGACACATAGGAATACAACAAACTAAAAAGCTTCTGCTCAGCAAAGGAAACCATCCACAAACTGAAAAGGCAACCTATGGAATGGGAGAAAATATTTGCAAACCACAGATTTGATAAGGGGTTAACATCCAAAATACACAGTGGAGTCTTACAACTCAATAGCAAACAAATAACCTTTTAAAAATGGACAAGGGACCTGAATAAACATTTTCCTAAAGAAGATATGCAAATGGCCAACAAGTATGTGAAAAGATGTGCAACATTACTAATCATCACGGAAATGCAAATCAAAACCAAAACAAGCTATTACCTCACCTGTTAAGATAGCTATTATCAAAAAGACAATAGATATCAAAGTCTGGTGAGGATGTGGAGGAAAGAGAACCATTGTACACTCTTTGTGTGAGTATAAACTGGCACAGCTGCTATAGATAACAATATGGAGTTTCGTCAGGAAGTTAAAAATAGAACTACCATATGATCCACCAATCCTATTTCTAGCTATATATCCAAGGGAAATAAAATCAGTATCTTGAAGAGATTTCATTGCAGCATTATTCATAATAGCCAAGGTATGGAAACAATCTAAGTGTCCATCAGCGAATGAATGGATCAAGAAAATGTGGCATATATGTAACGGAATATTATTCAGCTTTAAAAAAGAAGGCAGTTCTGTCATTTGTGACAACACGATGAACCTGGGGGACAGCATGCTGAATGAAATAAGCTAGACAGAAAAAGAAAAATACTGAAATGTATCACTTATATGTGGAATCTAAAGCAAAAAAATAAAAAGTCAAACTCATAGAAATGGAGAGTAGAAAAGTGGTTGCCAGTGGGAAATGTGGAGAGGTTGGTAAAAGGATACAGACTTTTAGTTATGAGATACATAAGGTCTGAAGATCTAATGTATAATATGGTGACTATACTTGATAACACTGTATTGGATAACCGAAATTTACTAAAAGAGTAGAACTTAAATGTTTTCACAAACAGAAAAAGATAAATATGTGAAATGATGAATGTGTTAACTTGATGGGGAGATTCTTTCACAATATATATGTATATCAAATCATCATTTTATATTTTAAATATCTTACAATTTTATTTGTCAATTATATTTCAATAAATGTGGAAAAAATAGTAGCAGATAAGTAAGTTCTGTATACAACCTAGTTCTATAGCTAAAAATACGGTGTCGTATACTTAAAATTTGCTAGGAGGGTAGATCTTGTGTTGTGTTCTTACCGCAATAATAATAATAACAATGATGATGATGATGATGATAATAATAATAACAATACAAGGGGCAGGAGGAAAGTTTGAGAAGTGATGGATATGTTTATGTCCTTGATAATGTTGATGGTTTCACCGGTGTGTACTTATCCCCACATTCAGCAAGTTGTATACATTAAATATGAACAGCTTTTCAGTTGTTGATTATACCCTAAAGTCGTTTAAAAAATTGTAACAGAGCCAAATTCAAGAACCAAGGGAGTGGGAAGAGAATGTGAAAACACCCAGATAAGGTCAAGTGATCCAGAGAGATGCAGGACTTTCTTTAATTTCTGAGACATAGTCAGAAAAAATTGCAAAGTTAAAAAACAGCTTGGATCCTTTATGGAGATTTTAAATGGCTGAAGAAGGTGTTGGGTAGGATTAAGACAGTATCCTCCACCACATGCCTTTACACATGAGTTTATTATGGATTAAGTATGACATGTAAAGGATGCAGAATTTTCCACATACCTCAACACGGGAAGACTAATGGATTGAAATAGGTCTAAAATCACAAAGTGAATGCATATGAGGGGAGATCTCATGAGGAGAACCTTATAATCATTAAAAGACAAAGTATAATCTGCTACGCCTTGTTAGAACCAATATAGAGCACCAGTGATCAGGCAGACTGAGTTATGCTAAGGGGATGCCAACAAAGGCAGGAGACGGTGGTAAACCAGCCACACTTAATCTCTCTCCCTGATGGCCAGAGGCACGTCTGCTGCCCTTGGTCTAAGATTATCCACGGGAGAAGGAAAAGGAAAGGTGGAAGGAACCATGAAAGTCAGCAACTGTGACTTATCTGAACTTCATCTGAGATAATAAGAGTACATGAATTTTCTTGAAATAAAATCACTAGATGAGACTAGAATTCTATAGCACAATTCATTTGCTGTAAGCAGACTGTGGTCCCTTTTCAGAAAAGAAAAATCACTTCTAAGAATTCAGCCACATGTGAAAATTTTGAGAGAATAGACTTTGGAGGAAGAGTTTGTAATCTGTAGCCAGATTGGAAAGACACTTACCATGCAAAGCTGTTTTAAGATGTATTCTATAGAAAGAGAGTGGAGCCACAGTCGAAAGAAACATCTAGATCTGAGAAACTAGAAAAAATAGACTGGAGGGGAGAAAACTTGGAAAGCGATTTAGGTTTTGGCTCCAAACCTCATTTCACTGTTCACTTCTTGATGCCATCAAGCTAATCCCTGTGATATTAAAAGAGCCAAAAATGGTCTTCTAGGATAACTAGATGAAATTTCCTAAGGGGAGACTTTTGGAGAAATAGTAATGACATGCTAAACAGACATATACTCAATAGCTAAGAATGGTTGTTTCTATTGAGGATTAGAGTTGATACATTTGAGTGATTCCAAGAGAAAGAGGTGACATAGATTATTTTCCAGGTCATTGTTTAAGAATATTGTAAGCCTTTTAGAGAAAAGCTGATATTCTACCCAATGATAGATTATAAATGGCTAAACAACTGTTTATGGGATAATCTTTGTTATACTTGTGGCATAAGGGGGATCTAAAAGTTCCCTAATCTCTGGAAGTATTAGCTTATTGGAAGAATCTTGGGATCAAAATAAAAGAGTCATTTTGCCAAATGCCAAAATACACTACAGAGGTGTACTGACTAGAGACCATGGCAGGGACCATGGGCATAATCAGAAGGGGCTCAAAAGATGCACCAAGAGTAAATAAATGCAATCAGCTACTGTCAGAAAATGTTGGGTAATGAATGATCAGACTGGCTAAGCTATATCAAAGTGGGAGCAGGTGGTGAATTTTCCCAAAGAATGTGATAAAATATGATGAGTCTTCTAAGACAACTGGAGACTAGACAACAAAGCTGAGTTCTGGAATAGGAAATGAAGTCATGTCTGGACATTTGAGTTCAGTGTGTAGTTTTCAATTCTGCTATAGTGCCAATTAATTAAATTGCATTCAGTTGCTGCAAAACTATAAAATAGTGTTATGTTGGCATTTATTCTGGTTTTATACCATCAATTGAACATTCATGTTACCACCCATGTAATATAATAATTATTTGAAACTTGCTATCATTGAAACACAAGATGATAAGGGATTTTCTGCTTTCCATTTCCAGGGATGTTCTCTGTGGAAAATTAGCTTGTGTTTGGCCAGATAAGAATACATATAAAAGTGCTGTTCAGTCTGCAGTTTATTCATATATACCAGGGCATGTATGCATATCCGTAGCTACTGGGTCTTCAGTGAGATCAGATGGAAGAGATTATGTCTATGTGGCTGATGGCACTGTGTGTGGTGCACAAATGGTAACAAAACTTTCATTTATATTTAGCTGTATTAAATTATGTAATTATTAGATATCATATTCCATGATGACTATCACAATTGTACTGAATGGATTTGAGCCTGGCGCTGCCACTTATTTGCCTTACAATGTTGAAAGTTAATTAAACTAAGCCTCACTTATCCAATAGCATTGCTTTTTGGATTAACCTGTTATCAGTTCTTGTGTGAGAAGATATGTATGCGTTTTAAGCACTGACAGGTGATTTTTTTAGGTTTTTGAATTCTAACAGCTTTAAATCATAAAATTCTAGTTTTGACTTTTCAATTTTCCCTGCTTGACAAAGAAACATAATTGAGCCTTTATATTTCTTAAGTCATCTGTTTATGTATATAATCAAAATATAAGTGTGAGAAGTTTGTAAGAACCATACATGAAATCTGTACTAAGAAAGCAGTGATGTACAAGCCTGTGTACGTATGCATATTTGCATACATATGAGCATTTATACTCATGTAGCCCTAAAATAATGGGAGAACAAAAATGGTTCAGGGGTTGAGTTAGTTGATCTGGAAGTATGAGTGCACACATTTAAGAAAATATAAGGCATCTGAGATCAGATGTTTTGCATGTAAATGGCACTCAGCACTTACTTGCTGAATTAGATATAAAACAGAACCTTGAAATGGTGAATCAATTAGCCGATTCATATACCTGGGATCTGCAATTCTATTCCCTTGGGAAACTTTCTTGTGGTGGTTGGCAGGTTCTAAAATGGTTTCAATGTTCCCACTTCCTGGTATTCACTTCCTTGTGTAATCCCCTTCCTTTGTGAGTGGGCTGGATAAAGTGACTTTCTTGTAACGAATAGAATATGGCAAGAGTTATGGGATGTCACTTATAAGATTAGATTTAAAAAGAGAGAACTCTTAAACAAAAAGTAGCCATAACCTGATAATTTTGAAAATTCTCAGCTTCATCACACAGAAAAAGATGCTAAAAAATTAAGAAATGGATTCAAGAAAAGTCAGGAAAATGTGTACAGATAAAGCCAGGAGTGAAACTGCACAAATGTTAACTAAGGGCTCAAAAACATCAAAGGATCACAGTGTTATTCAGTTATGCAAATGTCCCCCTTAGAGATTAAGGGCATGCATCACAGATCCCCTAAAGAAAAAATTAAAAAATGAAGCCTCTAAAAAGCTTTAGGGCTTTATCTTTCAGCCATCCCAGCAAAAGTCCAAAGTAGAGAAAAGCTTATTTTGAAGAGATTTGTAAATGTGTCTTTTGTATAATGGAATGAACTCCGATGAGATTCATAGGAGGTCCACACAGTTTTTGAGAAATATCAGCAGACACCCTACCAGCAAGGATGACAGAGACAAAGAATATAAAGTGTAAAGAGGCTATTGAACTCCCCAAATTCTCCTGGGAGGAAGCAGATTGAAGCAATTGCTCAGCTGTTAACACATGCTACCTTTTGTAAAGAAGGAAAAAATACTGAGGGTAAAACAAGAGCTGAAAGGGCAGAATCAAGAGCCAAGAATGATTATTCACATGCCTCAAAACCTAACCAAGGAACTCCCAAAGTTTGTCCTGCTGGATTTCAGAATTGCTATGGACCAATGATTCCTTTTATGTGCCATCTTCCTGCCATTTTGAATAGGAATGTCTATGCCTGTCCTACTATGGTATTTTGGTGATGTTGGGGACAGATAACTTAATTTGCCAGTTTCACAGACCTACAGATGAAGGAACTGTACTAAGAAATAGATCCAGGGGCCTAATTCACAGCTGGAGCTAAGTTATATGAAGCAATAGGCTTTGAACAGATGTTATAATTGGATGAGACTTGAAGACCTTGAGGATGAATGTAGTTTGCATACATAACATTAGAAGACAGAGGATGGACTGTGATAATCTGCTTTTAAAATATACCTCAATGATCTCACCTTTTCTTATTCACTCCCCTCTAAAAATACATCCTCCTACATGCTGTTCTGGGAGGGATGGATCTAGTGACTTGCTTCTCAAAAGTAGAGTAGGGCAAAAGTGACAGAATGTCGCCTCTGACATCAGGTTATAAAAGATGGTATCTTCTCATTTCCTTGCACTCTCTCTCACCCTTTCACATTTTTGGATTGCTTGCTTTGATGAAACAAACTGTCATGTAAGAGAGAAATACAAGGGAAGGAACTCAGTATAGCTTCCAGCCAACAGCCCTTGAAAGTGAGGACATTAACCCAACAACCCAACAACAACCACGTGACAAGTTTGGAAGGAGATCTGCCTGATTTCACCTTCAGCTGAAACTGGCTGACACTCTAATAGCAACCTTTTGAGAATCCTGAAGCAAATGACCAACCTATGCTATGACCAGAATTCCTGGCTCACTGAAACTGAGATAATAAATACATGTTGTTTCATTTCCCTAACACAAATGCCTACGAGTACAATTTGTGCTTCACATGATAAGTACATTTAGTTTTGTAATAAACCGCTATAATCTTTGCCAGAATGGCTGTACCATTTTACATTTCTACCAGCAACAGGGGAGGGATCAAGTTTCTCCATATCCTCACCAGTATTTGGGGCTATCACTATTTTTGCTTTCTGCTATTTTGATATGTATGTACTGATATTGGTGCTTTTAATTTGCATTTGTCTAATGGTTAATTATATTCAAAATCTTTTCAAGTGCTTGTATACTATCAATATATCCTCCTCAGTGAAATGTTTACTCACATCTTTTGCAAATTTTCTAATAGGTGCCTTTTATTCAATGCTGACTTTTAATTTTTATATATCCTACACTCAAGGTTGCAAATAGTTTTCTCCTATTCTGTAGCTTGTGTTTTCATCTTCTTCACAGAGTTTCACAGAGCAAAAGCTCTTAAATTTTTCTAGCGTCCAGTACAGCATCTTTTCCTCTTATAGATCATACTTTTGGTGTCAAGTTTAATAACTCTTCATGTGGCCCTAAGTCATGGAGATATTATCCCATGTTTTAATTTTTTTTCTAAAAATGTATAATATTGTGTTTTACATTTAAGTCTTTATTCCATTTTAACTTAACTCTTTTATAAGGTGTGAGGCTTAAGTTGAGGTTCCTTTTTTTGTACCTTTGTCAAAAATAAATTAGGTATGTTTTTGTGGGCATATTTTTAGATCGTCTACTCTGTTAAATAGATTTACATGTCTATCCATCCACTGATACCATATTTTCTTGATTACTTCACAATGTAGTAACCCTTAATAGCAGGCAGAGTGATTCTTCCCATTGAATTTTCCTTTTTCAAAATTGTTTTAGCTATTCTAGGTATCTTTTTATATAAATTTTAGAGTAAACTTGTGTATGACTACAAAAAGACTTTTCTGGAATTTTAATAAGGATTATGTTAAAAGTATAGTTCAATTTGGAAAGAACTGATATCTTTACTATATTGAATCTTCCAATCCTTGGATATGGTAAGCTTCTTCAATTATTTAGGTAGTCATTGATTTTTTATGAGCATTTTATAATTTTCAGGATATAGATCCCATACATCTTTTGTTAGATTTATATCTAAGTATTTTATTCACTTTGGAGTAGGTATAACGGTGTTGTGTTTTTATTTTCACCTTTTCACATGTTTGTTGTTAGTATACAGAAAGGTGATTTTTGTGAGTTGAACTTGTGTCTGAAAGCTTGCTGAACTTCTATTAGTTCTAGAGCTTTTTTGTAGATTTCTTAGGATTTTGGATGCTTACAATCATATCATATTTTTTTTCTTTATAGTCTATATGTTTTTTATTTGTTTTCCTTTCCTTATTGAACTGGCTAGAATTTCACATATTATGTTGAATAAGAGTTGTGAGAATGGACACCCTTGCCATCTTCCTGATCTTAGGGGAAAGCATTCAGTCATCCACCATCAAATATTATGTTAGCTGTATGTTTTCAAGATGATCCTTAGCCAGTTAAGGAAGTTGTTTTCTATTCCTTGTTTGCTGAGTTGTTTGTTTTTGTTTTTTTTTAATCATGAATAGGTGTTGAATTTTATCAGATGCTTTTGCTATGTCTATTGATATGACCATGCAATGTTTTCTTTGGAATTATAGTTCTATTTTATCCAAATCATCTAAAAACCAATATGTGGGAGTTCACTGATGGCATTTGAGTTGTCTAGATTTATAAGAAAAACTAGAGTTTCTGAAGATAGTAAATTTTCCCTTAGTCCATGTTATCTAATGTAGCCTGATAGCGATTTGGAAGCACAAGTGATTAAATTTTGGAGAATTTTGGAAAATTGTTCAAAATTGCCAGAGACTTTCATCATAACAATCTAGGATACTTAAAAGTGCTCAGCACCTCTGTTATTCCGAGATTCCACTGATGACTGGGTCTCATTTTTAACTAAGCTGGATGAGAAATGTTACAGTGGTAACGATGTGTGTTATATTATTGTAGGAAAATTATATTTGGATGTGTGAAATATATTGATATTTTGGTTAAAGTATTATTTTTCACTTCTCAAATGGCTAGTGCTTATTTTCTTTGTTGTTAAATGACTACAATTTCTCCCATACAAATAAGAGCATTGATTATTTAAGGAAAATATTTTCAGACTCTCAATATTTTTGATTCATATTTTCCTCTTAAAAATGCATAAAAATCATAACTCTGTGCAAACAAATTTCTTTGTAAAACTACGAGTTATTGTACATCATTTGTGGTGTATTATTTGATTAAAAGTATTCTTCCATAACTCTGCTTGACACACATAGTGAGCCAGCAGTATAAGGGCAGTGTGCTGAAATGCAGCAAAGAGTGGCTTTATCACAGGATGTGGAAGATACTGATTTCTTTTTTAAAAAATTGAGATTCTTATTTTTTAATAGAAGTATTTCTTATCCAACTAGCCTTCCAAAGTGGATTGCAGGAATCCAGGATATGAAGTCTAGCATGTTCAATTACAACATTTGTATACAGTGTAATATAAAGTTAAGGTATTATTGAAATGCCTTTGTTGTCTCTTGTGT